CAGAGGTTATCAAAGCGTGGTCAATAGACATCAACATCTATACCACCTGGGAACTTTTTTTTTTTTGAGACAGAGTCTTGCCCTGTCACCCTGGGTAGAGCTCAGTGGCATCATCATAGCTCACTGCAACCTCAAACTCCTGGGCTCAATTGATCCTCCTGCCTCAGGCTCCTAAGTAGCTGGGACTACAGGCATGTGCCACGATGCCCAGCTAATTTTTCTATTTTTAGGAGAGCTGGGGTCTCGCTCTTGCTCAGGCTGATCTCAAACTCCTGAGCTCAAGCAATCCTCCGGCCTCAGCCTCTGGGAGTGCTAGGGTTATAGGTGTGAGCCACTGCACCTGGCTTTACCTGGGAACTTATTAGAAATGGTCATTCTTGGGCCTCGCTCCAAAGTGAGTGAGGCCTAGCAATCTGTATTTTAAGAAACCTCTAGGTGCTTCTGATGCACATTAAAGTTTAGGAGCCACTGCAGTAGAGTTCAGTCTTCTTTGAGGTTAGGGTCTGTGCTTTATTTTCTTTGTATTCCTTTTAGTTCCCTTGTGGGATTAATCAGTGTTGAATAATTGGGGGAAAAAAAAACAATGTCAAGGCTGACCAAAGTGCCCACATATAATCTCTTAGTTTGTGCAAGAGTCTTGATTCTCCATGAATAATTGGAGATTCATTATTAGACATTTATGAGATTCATCAGAAGACCTCACGTTTTGTATTCAGTCTTAGACCTATGACAAACAGCTTAAGTATACTTTTATTTAGACAATTTCTTCTTACAATTACTTTCACCATTATTTTCTTGCCTACTAGTTGTGGTCTTATCCTTATGGTTATTTTTGCCAGCAAAAATTTCTCTTCTTTAACTATTTAGAAAGACTCACGGGTTACTTCTATAGTATATGTTGGATTTATCACATCATTATTTTACCTTTTCTTTATTTTCTTATTAGTTTTCTTTTATCTTGCTATGTTGTGATCTCAGCCCTTTTACATCCTTTTGAAGAGGTGATATTTAATTTTATAAGTAAGAATTTAATCTATTGCTGCTAAAAAGGCTGTTGTTGAGAACTAGCAATTTGGATGCCTAAGTACCAGTTTATAAACAAACACAATAATAATTTCTGTTTATTCACTACCTGTTTATCTATGGTGAATACTCAGCTTATAAAAATACCATTTAAAATGTCTAAAATTATAGTATAATTATTTATAGGTGACCTTTTTCTAAGACTTGTTTAAACAATGATTTATGCCCTGGATTCTCAGTTTCCACCACGTTCAGATTTCCAAACCTCGTTTGTACGTTAACCTAGTCAATCTAGTTCCATCTGCTCCCAGAATGGGTTAATATTCTGAAGATAGCATGAGTGCAAGGGCTATCGAGATGTTTGAGCTCTGGCGGATCCCTGGTATCAGGGAAGGGGCAGTGGGTGAGGCAGAATGGCCTTCCAGCCTTGGGGGAAGCTCAAGAGCTTTCCATGAACCTGTGTGGTCCTAAAATATAGTGTTGCTGGGCTTTCCTTTAGTCTCTTTGATGTTAGAGTAAAGTCATAGAATCATTGCATTAATTACTGTTGTTTGTATAATTAAGCTACTCTCTGACGTTTCTGGTTTAAGATTTGCTATAAGTAAATGAAAAATCAATTCATTAACAAATGTTAGCAGACTTTTAAGATACTAGATTTTTGTACTTGCATATTGTATTGAAATTTCTTAATGACTATAAACCAATCTTAGTTTTTGTTTGTGCCTCATAATCTTGTTCAATGAAAATAAGGAATTTTTGACTGCTAAAGTCACAGCCTAAAACCTGGAAAGTGATCAGATTTCCCAAGGCATTTTTTTTTCGTGGAGTTTCTCAGCTCTTAGAAAACATTCTAGTTACAGTTCTAGAAATTGTACATGTGACATTTTTCATCTGTCTGTAGAAGAGTTTATGTGGTCTCTAGATGAACTTCTTAGTTTCTGCAAAAAAAAAAAAAACCCAACTTATAGTATTTTGGAGGTGTATGTATGTTTGTGTACTTTTGTTTTTAACTTATTTCATCTACATGTACGTATATTTTCACAGACCTACCTGTATGTAACCACTGCATTTAATTAAAGGGGGGTTTAGATACCTTAAGAGGTTTTTTTTTAATTTCAAAAAGTTCAATAGTTTCATGATTTTCTAGTGTAGTCAAGGAGAAAGTTGGTTTGTTTGAGAATGTTGTGTGGCTTTTTTTTCCCTGCAATATAGCCAGTGTTGGTGGCTTGAGCAAGAAGAAAACCATATTCCACCATATTCTAAGGACTGTATCCTTTAAGTCTTATTTGTCATGAGCGTATTGATTAAAAAATCAAGAGGCCCTTAGTCCTAAAAGTTTAGGAAGAGAAATTTGTGTTTTAATTAAGGAAGGATTATAGTAATATCAGGACATTCTTAAACACAGTTGAGCAGAGATAGTCTGCTAAACTCACTGATTGGGAAATAAGCGTTTGGGAAGACAATAATTTTTTTCATGCCACCACGTGAATGAGATTTTATTTTGCTAGGCTTTAAACTCCTGAATGACTATACGTGCACTGGTTTATTTTAGGAAGGAGAGGAACCTTGGGGTCCTAAGGCAAAGTTCAGTTTTGGAAGCCATTACTGTATATCTTGAAATGTCCTTTGAAATGGTTTTGATGACAGTGACAAAACGAAGGGAGAACAAGCATGTTAAAGTTATTTGGCTACTCTGGAAATCAAGGCTGTGAAGAAAACATTTTCTAGCTGTAAATCACGTACTTGTCCTACATTCTTTAAAGTATTTTACACAAATGACTTTTACAGTTTTAGGGGTCATGCCTGGGGTTAAGAGACTGTCTGCATGGTATACATTTTGGTGATTAAAAAGCAATACTTTATTGGGGTGATAGCACTTCTGTTCACACTCTGTACTATGAAATATTTTATTTTTACCTGATGAGAAGGGATTGCCCCTTAAGTCGATATCGTACAGTGTGTTCTTGTCGATTTTATGTGCCACATGGACATGTACTATGAAAAAAATTTAGTACTTAAAATGTAACAAAAAAAGAAAAAAAGCTAGAAATAAAATTATAAAAATCATTGTAAAGAATAATGATGATTGGTAATATTTTGATGAGTGATTATCACACCAAGCACTGCTGTGAGCACTTTTATATGTATTATCAGATTTAACCTTTAAAAATCGAACCTATGAAGTGAGAATTGTTCTCATTTATAACTGTTGAGAAATAAGGCTCAGAGAGCCTAAGTGAATTGTTCAAGGCCACACAACCACTATAACTAGTGAGCTGGGGAATAAAACCAGGCAGAGACCACACTCCTAACATCTGCTCCATAGAGTGGAGCCTATTGACCCTTGGATTTCACAGATAGTGCTCAGGATAAGGCTGAAATCATTGTCTATGATTTATTTATAAGTGAGTCAATTCAAATAAAAATATTAGGTAAATACCTAACTGTCTTGATAGCTATGGCAAAAATGCTGAAGCTGATGAGAAAATTAGATTTGGAAACCAGTGCCTTAAGTGGTTGGTGGGCGTATTAATTTAAATTATACTTAAAAATAAAATTGGATCATGTAATGATCCACTTTTTTTGCCATTCTCTTTTTTTGCTTTAAATTATTACCAGTATGTTAGCACATGAGAGACTGCTATGGTTTTGTATGGGTATGGAGATAATCAGATAGTTTAGTGATTTGGTATCTTGTCCATGAAGTTGCAGTGAACTCTGGTCATTTGGAATGTTATATGAATATTACATATCTTTCCTGCCCTGTTCCTATGTGTTTTTCCTACACATGCAGACCTTGTTCATGGGCACGCCAGTGTGCCCATTCCTCTTCCCACCATTGCATCTTCTCCTGTGAAGTAGTCATAACACTGGTTGCACTGTAAAGTGAAAGGTGCATTGTACTGACATGCAAATGCAGCACTGGGTGGCAGAGTCTGTCTCCTTTTGCCAAATGAAGTGTTGTATTTCCCTTGCTTTTTGTTCCAGCCGAGCAATTTTCATTGCCGGCAGCATAGCACACATTAGGAGAAAGCAAATAAACAATGCAAGGAGCTTGGAGCCAGGAAGTCGCATCTCACACTAGAAACCCATAGCTTTGGATTGACATCTGGGAGGCGGGTTGCTGAATAGGGAAGCCAAAACCAGTGACCGTGAGGTTCTTGCACTTCTAGGGAAACCATTTAATCATAAGATCTTTGGGAGGGTGTCAGAAGTTGAGTTCGATATTATGACAATCAGCTTCTTTGTAATTAAACATTAACTCAAAACTGTGTCTTAGGTAACTGAGCGTTAACTTGTCACTCATTGTTTGTCTTAGACATGTAATTAACATTCATTAAACTTAATGTTTTGAAATTAACCTCCTACTAATTTAATGTTTTACTTCGAAATAATCCAAGTAAATTTGAGTATTCCTTATTTAAAAATATGATCTATTTTTTCCTCTGCTTTATAAGATACAGACCAAATTTAGTTGGAGTATTTTAGAGGTTTCTTCGATTTCAAATGGATGGCGTGTTACAGTAATTTATTGAAAATAATAATCTAACTGAAAATTATAAACCCAAAGTCTATAGGATCTTTTAAAACCAGAATAGATAAACTCATTTCAAAATTGATTTGTTTAAACATTTATTAATAATACATTCTCTTCAAGGCCAAAAAAAGGAAAAGAAACCTTTTTGCCCCCCTTTTAGACTACTCTTAACCCCCAACAGTCTTGATTTTTGGAACTTGAGGCTTTGGAAATCATTAAATATTTATAAAGATGCTTATAATTTGGTTTTTTGTTTGTTTATTTTTTGTTTGTCTTCCTTGAGTTTTATAGCCAGAGAATTCCTTTTCATATACCCATTCTTGAAGAGAAAATAGTCAAAGTGATTAATTACCTTCAGTTTTGATAGTACATTTGAAATACTAATGATTATTTTGAATGATGTATGTTTCCTCAACTATTAATGTCTTACCTCTTCTAGGACCTGCTGAAGTTCCCATGATGTCACCCAATGGATCCATTCCTCCCATCCATGTGCCTCCAGGTTATATCTCACAGGTAATCCATTTGATGGAATTCTCCACTCACTATGTACACTATCCTTATTTCAACAGAATATAGTTTGAGGCTTCAGAAACTTATTCCAGGAGTTAATTTAGTTAAAATAATGCTAGGGTTGCTATCATTTTTGTGATATCATGTGGTACTTCCTGTGTCTTGCCACTTGATGTGCTGGAGAGTCGAAGAAAGGGAAACACAGAAGGGGTACCAGTCTGCCCTCTGCCAAGCTGGGTTTCATATTTGATCATTGGGTTGTGATTCCTTCATGGAGTCTCCCGCTTTAGAGATTTCCTTCCATCTATATACCACAATTTGCCAGATTTAGAAAAAATTTTGTAGACCTGATAAGTTAAAATATCAAAGGCAACATTGTTTCCGTACATAGGGCCTGCTTTCTGTTGTAGGAGTCCATTTCTCCCGTATGTGGCACAACCAGGGCTTGGTGAATTACTAAGTATGATGTGAGAACTTGACTGTACTTAAGTTTCTCTGAACTTTGGTTTTCTCTGAAGTAAACTGATGATAGTAGCAATCTCAGGGATGTATTCGAAGGGTAAAAAAGTTTAAAGGATTAAGTTATATTCCTATACTTGAATAAGACATAATGTTTCAGGTGCATGGAATATAGTGGATGTCTCCGTATACTTTGGTTTTTATCCTAGCCTCAGCACAATATGCATATCTGTTTCTTCCTGCATAACTGCCTTTCCAAATACCTCGCTAACCAACTGTTTTTATTTCTTTCTGCCTCCTTTGTTCTTTTTTTTTTTTACTGAGTGTGAGAGCATAATATAGTCATTGGAAAAAAACCCAGAAAAATATGAAAAGAAATTTATTTATAATTTTAATACTCAGAGATGATAATCACCGTGCTAACATTTTTTGTATTATATCCTTCCAGATATTTTTTCTTTCTTTCTATTCTTTCTCTGTTTCTCTGCCTCTGCTTTTGAAGTGGCTTAAAAAGTCTGTAATTTTCTGTTTTAATGATTTTGCTAGGGTGAAAAAATTGGCAGCTACATAGGGAAATTGCTGAAGTGCAGGCAGGAATCAAAGATTTATCTTTCTCTGATGTAAAAACGTATCCATTTCTTCACTGTGTAAGGCATATTGCAACCACTGTAATTTCATTTTTTCCATCCCTACTTTTATGTGAGCCAATTTGACTTTTTTTTTTTTTTTTTTTGCACATAGCCAGATTGTTGGCCAGTTTTCCCGCTATTGCAAATAAATTACTTGTTTTACACAAGTCTTTGTAAATAAGAATCACTGGAGGGAGAAAAGGGTGCAGAACAGGCTCTTCCAGCAGGGACACAAGATGATGGATCACATTCACGTCACCAGTCAGTTAACAGAAAAGTACAAGAAATGTAGAATTCCATTATGTCTCTTGCTCATTTATTTTGAGGAAGTGTTTCATTCCATTGAACAGAGTACAGTTCTCACCATTGTGACAACAAAAATAACACCTCCTTTTATGCTAAAGGTCCATTGAAGGAATACCAGTTAAAAATTGAACATTCTAAAATGGAGAGAAGTTGCAATGTGCTTTTCCTTGCTAGTGGTGTTGCTGTGATTATCTTAAATTTAAAACTTGTTTGGGGGGGAGGGGGGGAAGGGCAACATACGTAACCTAAACATCTGTACCCCCATAATATGCTGAAATAAAAAAAAAAAAAAAAAAAAACTTGTATTAGAAGTCCTTGGAAAAATGGAGAATTTTTTACCAGGATATATATATCATTCTGAGAAATGTCTGTAGAAAATACAAGTAGAAAGGGTAAAGGCAGAGCTGTAAACTCACTTTGATACAATCATACAACTGATGGTAGAAGCATAGTGACACTTTTCCCTGCTGAAAGTTAGAGTAGAACATGCTAGAAGATACTGGAAGAATAGTAAAAATGGAATAATTTGGATTCTGAATTATAAAAGGAGAAAGAAGCAGACCATAAGTCATGTGTATAACTCTATTTTACTTTAGTTGGGCTCCTTGACCAGAAGATGGGCCCAAAGTTAAATGACCTTCAGTGATAGTATTATATCTTTAATGATATGTTACAGTACAGTGTCTGAGAAAAACAGATAGTTAAAAGGAAGAAAATTTCATTGAGAAGCCAGTAGGATGCCTGTGTAACATCTTTAAAGCAGGCAGTACATACATTTCAAAGAAATGAGGGTGGAACCAAATATAAAATGTCTTAGAAGACTTTTCATCACCAAAAGATCTAAGGAGCAACATACATTATTGTTATGCAGTTGTGGAAAGAAAGAATTACAAAATTTTAAAAAATCTTCCTCCAGGCTGGACATATTTGAAAAGTGCTCAGGATGAGTTGTCCCTGTGCTAGTCAATTCTGCGTCTTATTGCCACAGTCTTCTTTCTGAAATACACATAGCTTTCTTGTTCAGATGTAGAATTGTACACAGGTAGAGTTAAAGTTCTATAGTGTGGTGTATGAGAATCCCTAACACTCAGTCCTGCTCACCTTTTAAGGGGCACGTTTACCTGTTGCCCCACATCGTAACGTGTTAAACTTCTGTTCCCTAGATACCTTGGGCCCTTTTTACAACTGCATGCTTTTGTGCCCATAATTTCCCGCTGTCTGGAATACTCTAGAGCCCTTCTTTGTCTGACAGTTCAGTCATTCTTTCCGGTCAAATGCCCCTCCTCAGTGTGACCCTTTTAGAACCTCTAGTGCAGAAATAGTGGTTCTGTTCTTTCAGCATCTTTGGCACTTTTCCGCCGTCTCTGTCATGGAATACGATGCATTTCATAATTACTCCAAAGAACTCATACTGCCTCCTGGCAATTGCGTCTCAGCATCTAGAATACTGTGTGGCACATAGTAGGTACTTGATAAATGTTTTTAAATGTAAATGAGTGTCCAAGCTTAAATAAAGTAAGTCTAGGAGTGGTTTATAAATATGCTTCAAAGATTTGCAGGTTCAAGTTGAGTAATACAATGCTCGATAGCTGGAAAATAACAAGGTGAGACTGATCCGTACCTGCAAAAAATGAAATGCTCTGAATATGTATTTAGAAGAGAGAGGAGTGCTAAGACAGTTCAGTGGAGGAACGAATAATCTTTTCAACAAATGGTGCTGGAACAACTGGAAATCCACGTGCAAAAAGAATGAAGTTGAACCTCTACCTCATGTCATATAAAAAATTCAAAATGGATTATAAACATAAGTGTGAGAACTAAAACTATAAAACTTAAGAATAAAATTTTATGACCTTGGCTTAGACAATGGATTCTTAGATGTGACACCAAAAGCATGGAAAAACAAAAGAAAAAAATAGATAAATTTGACATCATCCAAATTAAAAATTTTTGTGTCCCAAAGGATATCACTAAAAACTGAAAAGTGGGGAAAAATATATACAAATCCATATATCTTAGAAGAGACTTGTATTGAAAATAATAGAGAACTCTTAAAATTCAAGAGTATAAAAGACAAATAACCCATTTTAAAAATGAACAAAGGATCTGAATAAACATTTTTCTAAAGAAGATATACAAGTGGCCAGTTAACACATGAAAAGATGCTCAGTCTCGTTAGCTGTCAGAGAAATACAAATCAAAACCACAATGCGATATGCTTTATTCACACTAGGATGCCTATGGTCAAAAAGACAGATAATATTAATAACAAGTATTGACAAGGATATGGGAAAATTGGAACATTCCTACACTGTATGTAATGTGGTATAGCTGTAATGTAAAATGGTATAGCTGCTTTGGAAAACAATCTGGCTATTCCTCAAATGGTTAAATACAGAGTTACCATACGACACAGCAATTACATTCCTAGGTATGTGCGCAAGAGACATGAAAACATTACTTGCAAAAACTGAATGTTCATAGCAGCATTACTCATAATAGCCCCAAAGTGGGAACAACCCAAATATCCATCAATTATGAATGGATAAATACAGTGTGATATATCCACACAATTGAATATTATTCATCCATGAAATGGAGTGAAGTAATGATATATGCTAAAATGTGGATGAACCTTTCTTTGTATGTTGAGTGAAAGAAGCCAGACACAAAAGCCATGTATTGTATTATGCCATTTATATAAAATGTCCACTGTAGGCAGATCCGTAGAAACTGACATAGATTTAGTGGTTGCCAGGGGCTGGGAGAGGGAGTAATGGGTAGTGACTGTTAATGGGTGTGGTGTTTCTTTGGGGTGATGAAAATGTTCTGGAAGTAGATAGTGGTGGTGCTCACTTAACTCTGCGAATATACTAAAAACTACTAAATTGGACACTTTAAAAGGATGGATTTTATGGTATATAAATTATGTCTCAAAGCTATTACAAAAGAGGTGGGGAGGGGAAGACAGTAACTCGTCGTAATTAAGAATCAGCAAACACTGGGGGAGCTGGGAAAAATGGCCCCGCCTACTCTGGATTTATTGGTGGTGGTGATGGTTGTGGTAACTACTGTTACCATGCTGTGTACTGTGCTAAATGTTTTTGTCTCCAGTTTTCACCATCCTGTCTTTACGGATGAGGAAGCTGAGGGCCCAATGCTGAGGATTGTCACCCAGGCATTTCTGTATATCCTGACCTTTCTTACTACGATGCACTCTTGAAGTCAGTGGCAGAGCCTGTCCTTATGGATGTGTTGCTTTCTGGCAGTGTGAATACAGATGTGTGGTGTGCATACTTATACATCTCCTATTTTAAAACACCAGCTACTCATGTATGGGATTGTCTGTTACTGTAAGAAAATTGAAGAGGGAGGCAAGTGAACATTTAAAGATGTTACATTAGTAACTCTACACTGAGTGAATGGAGAAATTCTTGATTACAGCAAATTTGTTGTATAATAAATAGCTGAAAGTCCTTTAAAGATAAATTGATAAAGTTGGTCAAATAAATTTGATAAAATGCAAATGTTAACAATGAGATAATCTTATAGTAAGACAAACTCCTGGCGTTTAATAGACAGTTGTGCAGGTGCAGAGAAAATACAGGC